ATGAAGACACCTAGGGTCTGTTCCTGGTCCTTTTCTTCACCAGGTAAACAATTACAAGATGAGGTTTGCAGTCACAGCACACAGCCAAAGTTTACTGAAGCACAAGCAAGCACACGTAACATTCCACACAGTGAAGGACAGACTCTGCACGGGGAGGGGTTCAGAGCTGGAGCTCTGTCTACTACCCTGCAGAGTCTGAGTCTTTATATAGGGTAGGAGGCGGGACAGGACTGGGCTTCCCTTTCCCTCTTTGAACTGAACAGGGAAGGATTCTCGTGGTTGGTTCACCCATGTAAAAGCAGGAACCTGATTGGATAGAGCAAGGGTAGGAAATTAGAAATTTCTCTGGAGGTTGGGGGACACCAAAAAGGCGAGCTTTGAACAAGAACCAGGAAGTAGGCCATCTTGATACAAGTGAGAGTAATTGGAACACAGCTGAATCTAGTCTGGGGCCTCCTCTGCTGTCTGGGCCTCCTCCCTTATCTACCTAATTCAGAACTGTCTTCTGTTCTTCAAATGGACATACCACAAAGGTATCACTAATGATTCTGTAGGAAAAAGACCATCTTTTCAACATGATGGTGAAGCAATTAGATGGCCTTTGGAGGGAGGAGGGGTACCTTGACCTATATGTCATAAGAGAGGCAAAAATTAATTCAAGATTAATAAAAAACCTACACCTGTTGGGCATGGTGGTGCACACCTTTAATCCCAAAACTTGGGAGGCAGAGGCAGGTGGATCTCTGTGAGTTCAAGGCCAGCCTGGTCTATATAGTGAGTTCCAAGACAGCTGGGACTACAGGAAGACCCTGTATCAATAAATCAATAAATAATAAATAGGTGATTGAGGAAACGAGATCCCTACACATAGGAAACAACTTGTGTATAAAGATTGCAGAAAAGAACAAGGATCTTCAGAGCATTGGGCTAAAATCTATTAATGAGAATCATAAAACACAGACCAAGAAAAAACTTGCTGAGGTGGCCAGGCATGGTAGTAGACACCTTTAATTCCAGAACTGGGGAGGCTAGCAGATCTCTATGGAGTTGGAGGCTAGTACAGCGAATTCCAGGCCATCCAGGGCTACACAGTGAAACTATGTCTGAAAAACCAAAACCAAAAAAAACCCAAAACCTTGCCAAAGTGAACCATATTAAAATTAAGCTCAGGTATGGTGGCGCCTACAGATAGCTAGGACAGGAATATCGAATTTCAGGCCAACGTGGGCTATATAAGGGAGACCCTGTCTCAAAAATAAAAATACTAAAAACAACGGCTTAAAAATGACATCATAAAGGCTCTTGACAGAATACCAGGCTGGCATTGCCCCCTGTGCCTTCTAACACCTACCCACTCCTGAGTGAGGCAGGTGCTCCCCGTAGAGACTCTGGGAAGACAGAGGCAAGTTAATACAAGTGGAGTTTTTTCCCAACTCAGGCACTCATATCCTCACAGTAGAACCATTCCCTGAGGGGCTTTGCTACGCAAGCAGCAGCTTTGCCCCCAAAGCCCCTCAGAATCTCTTTACACTGGTGTATTCTTCCCAAACAGTCCCCTAAGATCCTTTGAGGTCTGCATCAGGCTGCCAAGCCTGTGTGTGGGAAGGATAAAGCAGCAGGGGGCTCTAAGAGAGGTAGAACTGAGTTCAAAGGCTAGCCAGATCCGGTTGTATGGTGTACAAAACTTGGGGTCCCAAAGGAAGCCAGGGAGAGGGCGAGGCCCAGGGTTCTGTATGAGTGCCTTCAGACTAGGAAATGTCTGAGACAGGGCCAGAAACAAACATAAACACAGCCCAGCCCTGCTCCCCACGACCACATTTTTGCCACAGAAAAGCCAAGCCACACCAGCCAAGGTATATTCTTCCTACTCAGACCCAATGTTCACAGGGAAGGAAGCTTAAAATATATTTAGAGCTTTCAAAACTCTGATTGTTTTGTACATTCTTTCAAAGAGAAAAAAAAATAGAAATATCCCAAGAGATTAAAATAAGTTTCTAATCCTTGGGATGAGTGGGAAAATCTTGCATACTGGGGTCATTTCCTTTCTGTTTCAAGACATTAGTATGTGCTGGAAATAGCTATTGCAAAAGGGGAGACTCCATGTCCTTTGAATGCTGATTATGCCAGAAAACTTTCTAGGCCTAGAGGGGAAAGTTGTGCCTTTCCCAGGCTCTTGATACACGATAACCTTGTAGTTAGATATTTGACTAGGCTAGAAGACCCAAGACAGTGGCATTTGAAGTTCAGAAGCAATAATTAACTTGTTCTTTCGAGAAGCATGGCAAAACATCCAGAAGGGCCAAAAGTCTAGCTCTGTAGCAGCATAGTATGCTCCTCAGTGGGAGCATAGGCACCCAGTTCTCTGTCCCTTTCACTGTACACTGTCCCAAGTCTCTCTGAAGGCCACTGGTAGCTGAAAACTGACATTCAGAATTAGTAAAAGCAAAGTAGCCATTGTTCCACTAAAAAGTAGATATGCAGACTAAGAGGATGGCTAAGTCAGTAAAGTGCGTCTTTTGCCTTCATGAGGACCTGAGTTCAGATCCCCAGCATCCATGTAAAAGCCAGGAGCAGTGGCATAGTGCTCTAGCACCTCTAGCCTAGTGCCAGAGGGACAGAGACAGACAAATCCCTAGGGCTCACTGACCAGCAAGTTTAGACTATCCATGAGATCCAGGTTCAGTGAGACCCTCGCTCAGAAAAGAAGGTAGAAAGCAATAAAGACACCCGTCTTACCACTGGTCTCCATATACAACCCGTACACCAGATGCACGCACAAAAAAAAAAAAAAAACCCACACACACACAATAAAATTAAATTAAAATAAAAATAGGACTGATGAGATGGTTCAGTAGGTAACAGTATTTGCTGCTAAGCCTGAGGTTGTGAGTTCAATCCCTGGACTCACGTCACAGACAGAGAGAACCAACTCCCAAAAGTTGTCCTCAACCTGCACACATGTATGTGCACACACATATACAAAGCACATAAAAATTAGTTACAATTTCAACTTAAAATAATACAAATAAGGGAGTAGAAATATTGTAAGAGCCAGGAGAAGTGTATGGCCATACGGAAACAGAACTTACAGGCTCCTGGAACCTTGCTCATGGGAACTTACAGCAATGGTGACAGCATGCACAAGACCCATGCAAAGTCAGACAAAAACCAGCACAGAACTGGGGAAATGGGTAGGAAGCCACAACTTTGGCAAGGAATTATTGGTACCTGATCACTGCTGAGTGAGGAAGAGCTGATCTTCTTTAAGGGAGTGATGCTGGACAGGCTGAACAGGCAGGCTTCAGTAGGTGAACTCACATCTCGGGATATCTGGGTATACAAACTTAACTTGATAGGCCTTAACATATATGACAAAATGTGTAAAGTCCTGTTCGCAGGATATGGGGGTAGTACAGATAGGGAAAGGGAGATAAATATGATTAAGATGTATAGTATAAAGTCCACAAAAATTCAATTAAAATATATTTCAAAAATAATAATACAAATAAAATTTTTTAAATTAGAAGGTAGGTGTGCCAGTCTTTCCTGCTCCAGTGTTGGGGAGCTAGCCTCTCAGGGAAAGATCAGTAAGCGAGGACTTTCTTTTTCAGTATGCTGACATCAGAAGTAGAAGATTCCAGGCTAACCAGAAATCACCCAGTGAATTCACTTGTGTTGGCCCCAAAGTGTGAAGGTTGAAGATGAGAGCTTTTCCCCCTGATTCTTAGTTACTCATCAGTCTTCCTTCGATTGATTAAAGCAGGAATCAGCAAATGATTCTGTAAAGACCCACGAATATTTAGGCCACAGCATCTCAAATACAACCATTTAATCCTCCTGTGCTGGCATAAAAGCAGCTAGAGACTCTGTAGACAAGTGGGTGTGGCTATTCCAGTAACAGTGATGGAAACTGAAACAGAATTTCTTAGAGTTTTTACAGACCATGAAATATTATCCTTTAAATTTTTCCCAACAATTTTAACATGGAAGGACCATTCCCAACTTGTACATACAGATAAAACTAGGAAGCCAAATTTGGCTCACTGGCTGTTGTTTACCAACCCCAAGAACATAAAGTAATATGACCTTAGAGTAAAAAGAATGCCCACCATGGGCTGATTCTCAGTGGGGACCTTCTTACTGATGGGAGCTGTGATAGAAAGGCTAAGGTCTGGGCTCCAGAGCTTGGGGGATGAAGAGGTGTCATCCAGCCTTTCTTGGCTAGTCTGAGAACTGCTTACTGCATTCAAGAAACCTTAAGGGTTCCCTCCATTTGCCAATGGCCCCTGCTAGGGACTCAGATGCTGAGAACCCTGGGAACTAGCCTTCTCCTGCCTTCTCTTGCCTTCTCCTTGAAGACTTGGTCCTAACAGCAGGCAGTCAGTGTTTTTAATCATCTGCCTTCTTTACCAAAGACCTTCCCACTACCCTGTCAATGCCTTTTCTGCACCTCCTGCCACCCTCCAGGGCAGCCAGCATACCATACTTTTCTCTTCATTCCTGCTTGATCTCTACTTCTAATAATCATAGACAAAGTCCCTGGGTGCTTGGCCCATTTCAGGAAGCCTCTTAGATATTTTTTTTTTTATGATCCAAGGAGTAGTTGTAGAAATATTGGTAAACAAAGAAAGGAAAACATTAAGCATTGTGGAACCAAAATATCACTGTGTTAATAGAAAAACCCAAGATAATATAAAACAGCTGGTAAAATAAAACTCAATTTAAGCTTGGCTGGGGAAAGGAGACAATTTTGTTAACAGATTTTTCTTCCTAATTGTGTTTGTTGTTGTACTTGTTGGTTTGCTTATTTCAATTCTTACATTCCTGAAGAAGAGTAAAATAGCATGCTGACAGCAAGAAGAAGCCAGTCTGGTCTTTGAAATGCACTTCTGATAATCCTCAGAGAGGAGGTCCCCATAAAGTTATTTATTCACGTCCTCCGATGCTGACTAATGTTGAGCTGCTAAAAGATGGATTTGGCATTCTGCCTTCTTTTTCAGGCCCTTCCATAGTGACGCCCCCCAAGAACATCTGGAATATCACGGGTGCCAAGGTGTACTTGAGCTGCGAAGTCATCGGAATCCCAACCCCTGTCCTCATCTGGAACAAGGTCAGTGGCGCAGACTCCAGGAAGACATCGTGTAGCCTGGCAGGCTTCTCTTGCAGTGTACAGGGTGGTGGGAACATGAAAGCCTCAGCCTGAGCCACTACCTACTTTAAAGATGAAGCCTGTGGCAACTGACACCTCTCTGGATCTACGGAATGTCTTTCCTGACCTCCAGTAGCCCCTGCCCTGATTTTGTTAGCAGTGCCTTGGAAGGAATCCTGGGAAACTCAAAGAATCATAATACTAAGCACCCAAGCCCACTGTTTAGTTACTTTTGCATTACTGTGACCAAAATACCTGACAGAAACATTTGAGGGAGGAAAGATTTATTTTTGGCTCACAGTCTGTCACACCAGGAGAGGCATGGTGGAGTGGCTCAGTCCATAGGGGAGCTGCTTAGTCCCTAGAAGAAGGACTGTATGGCAGAGGCTGTTCATGGGGCATTAGACCAGGATGCAGAGAGCAGCCAGAACAAGAGGCCTGGCTATAACATTCAAAGGTCTTCCCCAGATGACCTACTTCCACCAACCAGACCCCACCTGCTAAAGCTTCCACAGCCTCTCCACATAGCGCCACCAGCTGGGGAACAAGAGATCAAAGTACCCCGTGGGGAATATTTCAGATTCAAACCTTAATAATCACCCTCTGGGTACATGTACAGATGTGTATGTAGGTGTGACTGTGCATGTGGCAGTGTGAATGTGACACATCACCCACCACTAGGGGACCATAGTATAATAATTAAGAGTGTGAGTTCTCACTTTCTGCCCCTACCCCCAATGTTCCCCTAACTTTTTGCCATGCCTCAGTCCCCTCATTGGAGGCTGAAGTCCTCAACGTTGGCTGGTGTTTTGGGTCCTGTACGTCAAGAAAACTCATAATCCTCAAGAGAAGGTGGGGAGGCTGGACCAAGAAGGCAAAGCTCTGTAGCCTTCTCCTCTGAACATGGGATATTTTTATCAGATTCCCTACACACTGGAAAATAGGATAAGTTTTAAGGGCAGAGAAGTGAGATGGAGGAGCCAAGTGGGATCAGTCTTTCTAGAACCAAAGCTCTGGGACTTTAATTTAGGGACAGAGTAAGGCTACTCTAGAACAGAGCATTAAAAAACAAATGGGGGGGGGGGGGCTGGAGGGATGGCTCAGAGATGAAGAGCTCTGGCTGCTCTTGCAGAGGACCCGGGTTCAATTCCCAGCACCCACATGGCAACTAACAACTAGTTGTCTGTAACTCCAGCTCCAAGGAATCTGACACCCTATCCTGACCTCTGCAGCAGACTTTGCATGACATGGGTGTGCTTACATATGCATGCAGGCAAGACATTCACCCACATAAAATTTTTAAAAAAAGAAACAAGGGGAGGCCTATTAAAGGAGAAATGTTCTCCCCTCTGAATTTTCCTGAATGTGGCTGCAAGTGGGAAAGCTTGATATTCTTTTAATACATCAGCTTTAAAATGACTTTCCAATTGAAAAGATGAAGGATGTGAATTCCTCAGCCAGGTTGGCTGGGTCCTTTGTAAAGTAGGACTTCTCAGGCCCAGCACTACTGATGTATGGAATCAGATCATTCTTTGGGTGGGGGCTGCCTGTGTTGGAATATGTTTACCACCATTCTTGGCCCCTACCACTAGATGCCAACAGCACCCACCGCTCACCCCACTTAACCCTGTGTGATGATTAGAAATATCTCCTCACCTGGCCAGGCATGGTGGCACACACCTTTAATCACAGCACTCAGGAGGCAGAGGCAGGCAGATCTCTGTGAGATTGAGGCCAGCCTGGTCCATGTAGTGAGTTCCAGCCAGCAGCCATGTGAGTGCTGGGATTCAAACCAGGGTCTTGTGCAAGAGCAGCGAGTGCTCTTAACCACTGAGCCATCTCGCCAGCCCCCAGTTTCTGGAAATTTTTCCCTTCGAATAGCATTGTCATTATATAATTACTTTCATATTTGAAGCACAACATATTCTCAGCCTGTGATTAGAAGGAAAAAGAAAATTCTATCTCCCAGATCAAGTAGTACTTCACTAGAAAGTACATTTACATTTTTGTCCTTTTTGTACATTTTAAGTCGTCCCATCTCACAGCTATTCTATAATGTAAGGAAAAATCCAATTAGTGTAAATAAAACAGCAAAAACAGACACCCCATTTTAGTTTGTTTACTTCTTCAGCAAACGCTAAAATGGATGCAAATCTCAACTATTTTGTTTGCCTGCTGTTTGATAGGAGCAACTTCTGGAATGCTGGGAGGGGTTTTGGCACCCAGAGTCAGAAGTAGCAAGTTGTCAAAATCCATTTGAAATTAGCCAAGGCCAAAAAAGAAAAGAAAAAAGGAAAATAAGAAAGATGAAGCAATTCCATTTTCCAGACACCCAAATGTGCTCCAAACAGGAACTCGTGATGTTTGCTCTCAATATACTGCTCTCATTTTCTTCATCAGAAAGTTTCCCCCGAAAAGAGTGGCATTATCACTGGCAGCTCCTAGCTCACAATATAGGCCCAGCTTCAAGACCAGAGGCAAGAAAGGGCTGCTTGTATTGTGAGAAGCCCACAGAAAGTCAACAGATCAGGTCACCAGACAACCTCTGGCGCCCCCATGTGGCCAGAAGAATGCGGCCACTAGGAAAACACTTAGCTTGAGATGACGCCAGCTATAGCACAACTTCCTTTACAGCTGAAACTTCTTTTCGAGGAACAATGAACTTTTGCCTCTACAAATTATGCTTTGAAAAGAGGCATGGAGGGACAGCAAGGCAGAACTTTGCTGCCTGCAGGTGTGTTCCTCTAGGCCTTTCCTGCTCACCGCTGAGGCTTCTACTGCTTCTTTGTGGGTCAGTGGCTGGCAGGGGAGGGGGTTGCCAGAAGGGTTGCTTCCAGGGAATACCCATGAGAAGCTCTATAGCGTCTCTATGGGACCCTAAGGATAGTTGCGAAATGAGAAGCCGGGATCCTAGAGTTTATAACCGTATTGCCAAATCTTCGCAGAAAATAGTCTTTCTTCAGTGCTAACTCTGCAGCACCCAGAAAAAGTACACACACACACATCCCAGGGGAATGAATCTGCCTCAGGAGTATTTTCCTTTCGGCCTTTGGCACTTCACACAGCAGGCCCCATGGGCCTGAGGACATGTACCCAGAACACAAGGACAGTCATTGAAGCTGCAAGCTGGGGTTGGAAATGAGAAATAGGGGAGAAAATTGTTTTCAGTTCTTGGGTTTTTGTTTCACTGTTTATTTTTGCAGTGCTGGGATTGAACCTAGGACCTTAGGACCTTGCACGTGCTAGGCAGGCCCTCTGAGCTACATCCTCTGCACCAAGTTTTCTTTCAGGAATGGAAATACAGCTCAGTTGGTAGAATGCTTGCCTAATATGTATGAAGCAGTGGGTTGGATCCTTAGCACCACATAAACAGGGCATGGTGACACATGCGTGTAGCACTCAGGAAGTAGAGGCAGAAGAAACATCAGAAGTTCATGGCCATCTTTAGCTACATAGCAAGTTTAGGGCCAACCTGAGCTACATGAGACTCTCTCAAAAAAAAGCTTCTATAAACAAGCTAACAAGGAGCAAATACCCAAGCAGGAAGTTCATGGATTTTCCTTTTCCTTTGTTATGTCATGCCATGTGCATTTGACCCATCAGTGAGTCCTGGAATTACACAGGGATTTCTGCCAGTGTTCCTACAAGAAATAAAAACTAGAACACAAAATGTGTTAAAGCATGACAATTAGCACTAAGGTATTATATCATAAAACTTTCATATACTCCAAACCCCAACATAAAAAGCACTGCTTCATTTGGGCCATGGCAAAATATTTGAAGTCACTGACCTAGATAATTAAACAGACCATTTGTCTCCTCTAATCTTCTGTGACCAAGCTATTAGGAATGCAGGCATATTTAGAATCTCATGGGATTTTAAGTCCAATTTAAACACAAAAGTCCTTTTTGGATAGAAGTGATTATTACAGCCTGTCCAGCCTGTAATGTAAATACTCAGGAGACAGAAGCCAGAGAATTGAAGAGTTCAAGCATTGTGAGTTCAAGGCTAGCCTGGGCTATATATTGAGCAAGATGTATCACGTCGGGTGATTTTGGGTTTTTTTTAATTTTTATTAATTTTTGCGTGCAAGTATGGGGGCAGTGTTGCGATGTGCATGTTGAGGTCCAAGGACAACTTTAGGAGTTGGTTCTCTCCTTCCACCAGGATGTGAATCCTGGAGATTGACAAGCACTTTTACCCACTGAGCCATTTCACTGGCCCAAGTGGTCAGTTGTTAACAGAGAACCTGGGATTGAAAGAAGGGAGAACTTCTTTTTTTTTTTCAAGGACTCAGCAACAGCAGAGTAAAAGGGAACACAAAAGCCATTTCTCTGAAGTAGACACACGAGACAGGCAGCAAATCTTAGGGCTAGTGAGAGGTCTGCACTTGCCCTATCAGGAGTTATTTTCCTGCTGACAGTGGCCAGCCCTGTACTTTTCCAGCAAATCCTAGTCTAGGGAGATACCATGGCAATATTGTAAAATAAGGATAGAACCAAAACAGCAACATTTGGCTCATCTCTTGTACTCTTAAGTGATGCTTACAGGTAAGACAAACCCTCAGTTTCTTCCAGACTTGTTTCTGAGCTGATTCTTTTCCTGCCTGGAATTTCTCCAAATTAAAGCTTTCATGATCTCTAAGAATATTCTTCTTTTTAAAAAAAAATGTATATTTATGTGCAACTGCATGAGTTTATGTGTACCATGTGCATGCAGGTACCCACCAACAAAGGCCAGAGGAGGGCCTGAGATCCCCTGAAACTGAAGTTATAAGCAGTTGTGAGTCATCCAGATGTGAGTGCTGGGAGCTGAACCCAGGTCTTCTGCAAGACCAGTAAGCACTGATGACCAGCAGACCATTTCTCTAGGCCCTCTAAAGATATTCTTTTAAAATAAGAAAATATAGTAATGAGGCTAACAATGAAGCTATCCTATGCAGATGTATAGAGTTCATAATTCTCTCCCATCTCTAAAGTAACTCTGCTGTGTGTCTTTCTTTGCCTTTTTTCCTCACCCAAACAGATACATACACCCCTAGAGTAAGCTGTGAGATGGGAATATAATGTGCTAGATTAAATGTATTAAATTTGCTTTTCTCAACAAATACTTCAGGACCAACCCTTCAATCGACTTCTCAGTGCCCAAAATACTCCAAATATGGACATACCATAATTTAAGCCATTTCTGTTTGTTTCTGTTTCCAGTTTGGGGGCACATCCCCGGACATATATTCCTGGTATTTCTGCAGGATAGAAAGATTTCCCTAAAGTCACATGACTATGTTAAAATAGTTCAGCTTTAATAGACACGATCTGATTTCTTCCTTAATTGACCATAATAATCACTCTGGCCCTCAATGTGGGAGATTCTCTGAACCCCCCCTCCCCCACACATACCCTTTCAGTTTTGTTAATATACCATCAAAACGACATCTCATTATTGCTTTGATTTTCTTGACAACATGGGAGTGATTTTCACTTGGGTCTTCTCTTCTGTGGATTGCCATCCATCATACCTTCTGTCCATTTTTCTCCCTCTCCCTTTTCAACAGGGGCTTGCTCTGTAGCCCAGGCTGGTCTTGAATTCATGACCCTCCTATCTTGGCCCCTGAGTGCTGCCATTACAAGTGTGTACCACCACATCAGCTTCCCTTTCTAGTGAGCTGCTCAGCCTGTGGCTTTTTCCTTCATTGAGGATACTGACCCTTTATCATGTAATACAAATACATTTCCTGCTCAGTCACTATGCTCTATGTACAGTAGCATTTACAGTAGTTTCTTCAGTTTTAACAAAACTGTGGATTCTATTGTATCAAACTTTTGATTTGTCAGAGACAGTAAACATGTTCCATAATGCATAGTGTCCTTTCAAGTTTTTCTCAAATTCAGTGAACTTTTGTTAAAGGTTTTAACCTTTAGGAATCAGGCTAACACGTAGCCTACTTTTGCAGTCGCAGGCACTTTTCCTTATTTACAATAGGAGATTCAGGAAGAATCTGTTGTAACTAAACTACACTCAGAGTCAGGTGGTCCTTTGCAATAGGGAGGCTGAGGGAGGACAGTGAGTTTGAGGTCAAGCTTGAGCTACATATCAAGACCCTGTCTCAAAAATAGATTAAAATGGGGCTAGAGCTATGGCTCAGCATTTAAGAGCACTGGCTGCTCTTACAGAGGATGCAGGTTCAGTTCCCAGCACCCACATGGCAGCTAACAACTGTCTATAACTCCAGTTCCAGGGGATCCAGTGCCCTCTTCTGATCTCTGAGGGTGTTACATGATATGGGTGCACTTACATACATGCAGACAATACAGTCATACACATAAATGTCTTTTAAATAAAAGAGGCTGAAATGACTTCATGGCCTCCCTCTGATTCACACACACACACACACCCTCCCCGCCCCCCACCCCATGTGTACACATGCATGCCTATATGAAGGCCATTGGCGTGTTTTTCCTCAGTTGCTATTCATCTTATTTTTAGGATGCTGTCTCACTGAACCTGCACTCACTGGCTGGCTGCAAGCCCCAGGGAGCCTATGTCTCGACCCCCCACCCCCACCCACCCCGGAACTACCAATTTTGTTTATACATAAGACACACACAGGAGTCTGGTCTTCAGTCCAGAGACACACTGCCTTAGCCAGTGAATCAAATACTTCTTCAAAAACAGTATTGCCCATTTTTACTAGCATAAACTGTTTCTGCCAGTTACCTGGGAAATTCAAGGAAAACATAGCTATTAATACATGTCCTCATAGCTTTCATAAAAGACACTAAATAATCTTGTTTTCTCTTAGTATCAGGGGCAATGTGGAAAAGTCCAGGAAAAAAATGAACTTAACGTTTGCTTTATTACAGAACAAAATTAGAAAACTCTTGAGATTGTAAATCCTTATTACAAAGGCAATAAAAATAAACACTGGCTTGGCTCTTAGAATAGAAAGAACATTACTTCATGTATTTTTTTAACTCAGTTATCACAAGCCTTAAAATATTTGTACTCTGAAACTGAGCTGCTAAATGTGTTACCAAGAAAGCTTTTCCCTGTATTTTTCACATATTTTCCAAAGTTCTCATTAACATACTTTGACCTTTAAAGTAGGTGGGAAAGAACAGGCATGAAGTAAGGATTAACCTTAAACCAAGGGAACCGAGTTTCTCCTTCTACAGCCTTCAGAATCTGACCATGGCTGGACAGAAGAGGCAGATTTCATCACAGAACAGCAACAGCAGCAAGTGACAGGCATTTCTGACCTCAGGTCTTCAGGAATTGTTTGATGATTCCTTAGCCCTCAGAACAAATAGAATTGTCTCAACTCTACCTACTTTTCATTGATGAGGCTGTTAAAGGAAGAGCCCCAAGGTCCCAAACATCAAAGTAGCAGAAGGCAACAGCTTGTCAGTCAAACATGGCATGGCAGACAAGAAAGGCCCAGTACAAAGGGACAGACAATCCAAGGGTACCACTGAGCAATGGAGGCCTGAGGCAGAGTGACCCTGTGCATTCTACAAGCTTGCAGGAAAATGCAAGGTCTTGTTTAGATGAAACCAGCAGAAAGAAACAAAATAGCAACTATAAGTACTCAGAAAAACCAGCATGTAAATTGCTAGTTTAATCTAATTACAAAGTCTGATGTTCACCTTGTGCAATTCTAGGAATGTGGTATCTCCAAGCTGATGTTTTGGTGCAGAGAACTAAAACTTTCCTTTTGTTTTTTCAGGTAAAAAGGGGTCAGTATGGAGTTCAAAGGACAGAACTCTTGCCCGGTGACCGGGACAACCTAGCCATTCAGACCCGGGGTGGTCCAGAAAAGCATGAAGTAACTGGCTGGGTGCTGGTGAGTAAACAGCAGCAAGAATTTCATTCTCAGGAGCAGATTCAGGCAGACCCTCCAAGTACCTGCTCTTCACATCTTTGGAGCAGCCCTACCTTGGCATGGCAGAGCCTCTTCCGGGGGAACTAAAGGAAAAGTTGAAGTTATTTTGTTTTAGAAAAAGCAAAAATTAACAAGACCTCAATTTTTGCCTAAGCTCAAGGGAAAATTCTCACAAGAACTAAATGACTCAATCGTTAATTATAGTTATTGGTTAACAAGTATTTGATTTTACTCAACCCTTGATTTCACGAGTATTACTTAAATCATGCCCCCTACAAAGGTTTCTCTCAAGCTGATATGTGCACATATCAGTTTTTAACTTACACATTGTGATCAAAGGGTGTCTGTGACATTTCCTCTCAGTACACCAAATATGGCAGCTCCCCAGGCTCCTAGCACAGGACCTGCATTGCTTCTAACAGAAGCTTTGCTATGAATCCTCTGCTCACCCTGGGGAACCATGAAAATAATGGTTTAATGGAAGTCCCTCAAAAACAGAAAAGGTCACCACAAATGAACTAAAGAGCCTTCATCTTTCACAGGTATCTCCTCTGGGTAAGGAAGATGCTGGAGAATATGAATGCCATGCATCCAATTCCCAAGGACAGGCTTCAGCATCAGCCAAAATTACAGTGGTTGATACCTTACATGAAATACCAGTGAAAGAAGGTATGTGATCATCTCACAGCCACTTAAAAGACTGACAAGCAGTTTTACTAAATAAGCAAGTGTCAAAGTATCATATGTAGCTATTAATAAAATTCTGAAATATAGGGAATCCAGAAGGGCTTATAAAGCATAAGTAATTAAAGTGTGATCACATGGTCCCGAGAAGACACTTGGATGGCTGAGGGAATGCCTACCTTACAACTTGGATGCCTTTACTTTACCTTGCACAGAAGTCAAAATTCAAACTTAACTGGATGGCTTGTATTTTCTGTAACTTTCTACCTACCTGGCATTTTTCCTTTGTGTTGTGACTGTTATATTAAATCCCTGTTTAAAGGGAAGTGATTGTGAACAATTTAGTCCTTCACTTTGAGCTTTTAAGAGAAAGAACTAGAAAGGAGATTATTAAGTTGGCAAATAATTCTGCTCCACCCCCATGTCACTGCTAAAAAGCTTCCCCCATAGAACCCATCCTGATGGTGTCAGAATCCTACTTTATATTTGGACAGTTCTATTAGAACAATGTCTGAATTGGCCTTCCCTTTCACTGGGCAGATCACTCAGCTGTACAGTGAAAGGAGGTATAGCCAGATGTCCCTCGGCCAAGATATGGAGTAAAGCAAGACCCTGAAATAGCTCTGAGAGCTGGGCACATGCTGGAGTCTCAGTTTACAACTAATTCTCTTCTACCTTGAGCTCTGCATGAGAGCTGAACCACAAAGCAAAGTTCCTTAGCCTCCCTGGACCTCAACTGGGAAAAGGTGCTCCTCCAAATTTATAGGAAAGTCTCCCTTTCACACATGGACCAACACAATACTGCTGCCTTCCATTCTTAAAACTGCATAGCTCAAGCCCAGTGTGGTGGCGTATGCCTTTAATCTCAGCACTTGGGAGGCAGAGGCAGACGGATCGCTGTTCTAGGCCAGCCTGGTCTATATAATGAGTTCCAGGACAGCTGGGGCTTCAGGGAGACCCTGTCTCAAAGACCAAAAAAAAAAAAAAGGAATCTGCACAGCTCGTTTATCCACGTGCATCCTTTTGTTTTCCTCACAGGAAGGTCTTTAGTACTTGGAAGGCTGAGGCAGAAGGATCATGAGTTCAAGATTAACTTGGGCTACACAGTCCAACTCTTAGAAAAGAAAGAGTGAGAGAGGAGTGAAGTGTAGAGGAGAGAGCAGGTAGAAGTCTCCCTAAGCTGCCCAGGGCTGGCCTTTAACTCCTAGGGATAAGACAGGAGGATTCCTGTCTCAGCCTGAATGATGGGACGACATCACCAAGCCCTGCCCCTTTAGCCGCATAACTTAATATCTTAATTGAATTGGAAACAATCTGCCAATCATGTTCACATACATGACTAATTCTTTTTTCTTTTTTTAAACAGGTGAAGGTGCTCAGATATAAACCTGCAGAATATATCAGTCTATGTAGCCAAAAGTGTTCACCGATAATGACCCCTAATCTTGCCTAACAAATTTCTTTCAATCTTATCCACTAACACTTTATAGTCAACTGGTTTTACGCAGAGAAATCAAAGATAACTCATCAAGACTCTACAAAAATTTGTTTATTTACAAAAAAGCATGCATATCTTTAAACAAATAAAAAGCTTATAACACAGTACCTATTGTCAGTTTTTTATAACATCATAGAAACAAGATACAGATATTTATAAGTATCTTGTTGAGAACATTCTGGAAGTACTAAACACTCATCATTCGAGGTGCAATGCTCATGGACATAAGTTCCTGAAACAACAGTTTGCAGGCGTACGGCATTCGCACTAAAGAAATCTGAAACGAGAAAGAAACAGTAATGAACAGAACTGTATTGAAGTGACCTACACTCTTCCCCAGAAAAAGGGAAAGATTTGACACTGCAAATAAACAAGGGCCCAAGCTGAGCATACTCTTCCTATGCCTCAGGGTGAATCTATCCCAGCGGGCTTTAGTACTTCCTCCTTTTTGCCAACAAAATGTGTATTCATACTCACTTTCCTCAATTGATAAATGGTAAGTAAAAAGCTTAGGAAAAACTCATTGTTTAAAATTCCTTGAGCAGGGCTGGAGATGGTGCAGTAGTTAAGAAAACTGGATGCTCTTGTGGAGGACATGGGTTTGGTTCCCGGCACCTACATGGTAGCTAACAACCATGTCGTAACTCCTCCAACACCTTCTTCTGATCCCCACATGCATGCATACGATGCACTTGCATACATGCAGGCAAAACACTCATATACATAAGATAAAAATAACTCCAAGAAAATTTTAAATTCCTATTATTTCAGAGATGAACAGCACAGAGAAATTATATTTAAGCTAGTTTTAGAAAAACCATCTTTTTCTTTAAAATTAGGAATCTTACAGAGGCCTGCTATCAAAATTGTGAAAATGCCAACCTATTCCACCACACTTATTTTGCCATGATTAGCCAGCATAGAGACATCCTAAACAAACATGATAAAGTGTACACACACCTGGGTTTTATTGCGGCAGCCCCTACATTCGTATGTATGAGTCCTGGTGTTAGCAATTGCCATTATTCCACAAAGATTGCAAACATGAACCTGATAAGGATCTGACGCTTCAAACAACCTTTCTCTTAAAAACTGTGCTGCACCATGGGCAATCTGGCAATCTCGTTCCATTTCTCCAAAACGCAGGCCACCATCTCTGTTAATAAGGAAACAAATTGTTTTGTGCTTATTTTTACATTTGTTTATTCATAAATTTGTTTATTTTGTGTGTGTATGTGTTATATAGCACCCAGAGTGCCATGGCTTATGTGTGGCGATCAGTAGATAACTTGCAAGACTCAGTTCTCTCCTTCCACCATGTGAATTCCTGGGATTGAACATTTTTTTCACTTTAAAGCCAGCTTATACCAGCTATGATAACTTATCAATTATGTTAATTCAGACTTACCAAACAAATAAATAAATTGAACAAAATGAACCTTTCACTCAAAACAATTTTAAGAATCTACTATGAGGGGCTCATTAGTTAAGAGCACTTGCTGCTCTTGCAGAAGACCCATGTTAGGCTCACAGCACCCACATGACAGCTCACCATCATGTGTAATTCCAGTTCAGGGAGAATCCAATGCCCTCTTCTGACTTACACTGGCCCTGCGTGCATGTGGCACTCACATACATAAAGTCTTTAAAAAAAAAAAAAAGAATACGGGCTTCCAAGCAAATTTTAGAAAATTACCCACCACTACCATCTCCAGAGCTTCCTGATACTTAAGTTTTTCTAAGAAACGTCAGTGGTAATATTTACAAGTGTAGTTTGTTTTGTTTTGGTGTACAATAGAATTTATTAAGATTGAAAATCTGTACAATTCAGTAAATCAGTATTTCCAAAATGATCAGCTATGATGCTAAAAATTGTGCATGTAAAATGCTACTGGGGGGAGGCAGCACTGGGATTGAACCTATAGCCTCACACATTAAGCAAGTGCTCTATCACAGAGCTCTACCTCCAGTAAACCAATAGATTTTCATATCGAGTTTACTAATAGGGCTTCAAATTTCCTCATTACCACTACCCTTTTAGAAACTACAACTTAGCCGGGCATGGTGGTGCACTCCTTTAGTCCCAGCACTTGGGAGGCAGAGGCAGGTGGATCTCTGAGTTTGAGGCCAGCCTAATCTACATAGCGAGTTCCAGGCCAGTTGGGGCTAGAGAGACCCTGTCTCAAAAAGACCCAAAAAAAAGAATAAGTTTGCTGGTATGGTGGGAGCTCAGGCCTATATTCACAGTATTCTAGAAGGCTGGGACAGAATTGCTATAAGTTTGATGCTAGCCTGGGCCACATAGAGAGACACACACATACACATACACATACACATACACATACACACACACACACACACACAGAATTGCTGTAAGTTTGATGCTAGCCCGGCTACGTAGAGAAACTGTCTCAAACATACAATACATAAAGAAAAAAAAAAAAAAAAAGAGCTGGGTATGGTGGTACACACCTTTAACCCCAGCATTCAGAAGATAGAGACAGGCAGATCGCTATAAGCCTGGTCTACATAGTTGAGTTCCAGGCCAGCTGGGGAAGAGAAGAAAAGAGAAGAGAAAAAAGGAAAAACAAAAACAGTCTTGCAATGGAATACAAAGTGGAAAGAAGAACCCAGCCCTTCTAATGGGCTGCTTCACTAAAGAACTTGCAAAATTGTAAACCAATGTCACTCTTGGCACTAAACTTACTTGGAAATATACTGATTTTTTCATTAAACATGCTATATTAATCTGTAATGAGTATATCATTGTTTTATAATAAATATTTTACATTTCAGTCTAATTTCTACTGTAATAAATATCAACAGACAGAACTCAAATGAACTAAACGTCCTAGGATCAGGAGATTTGACAGTCAACTTTTTAACTGCTATAACTAAAATTTTACAAAATAAATTATATGATGACTGGATTTGATGAAAAATAATCAGAGGTGAGCTGGGGTTGTAGCTCAGTGACAGAGCATTTGCCTAGAATGTATAAGGGCCTGAGTTTAATCTCCACAAGAAAAAGAGGAGACAAAAAATCCTAATAAGCAGAGGCCTGTGTGAGGAAGGAGAAATGAGCACAGCAGCGAGCCTGGCCATGACGGTGACGGTGCACTGGCAATCACACTGCTGTCTCTACTGTTCTATGTGCTTGGCATTTTCAAATGAAAGGTTAGTTAACTATAACGAATGATGACACTGCCGCAGCTCTTACCGAGATCTACCCTCCATGGGTTGTCTATTAAGGATCTGAATAGGTCCCCTAGCACGAGAATGAATTTTGTCATCTACCATATGCTTCAAACGCTGGTAGTAAGTGGGGCCAATGAAAATCTGTGATGTGATCTTTCGACCGGTGAATCCATTGTAGAGGACCTGAAAACACAGATTTTGAAACAAAACTAAAAATATTAAACAAGTTCAAAGATGTATATGCATATTCTGTATCATCCCATTTATATAAAAATTGAAACAGAAGCCAGGCATGGTGGCGCACGCCTTTAATCCCAGCACTCAGGAGGCAGAGGTAGGCGGATCTCTGTGAGTTTGAGGCCAGCCTGGTCTCCATAGTGAATCCAGGCCAGCTGTGGCTACAGCGAGACCCTGTCTCAAAAAGACCAAAAAAAAAAAAAAAAGAGTTGTGGGGCTGGAGAGATGGCTTAGCGGTTAAAAACACTGACTGCTCTTGCAGAAAACTCGGGTTTGAATCCCAGCACCCACACGGCAGCTAACAATTGTCTGTAACTCCAGTTCCAGGGTATCCGACAGCCTCTTCAGTCCTCCATGGGCACTGCATGACACGGGTACACTTACCTACACACAGGCAATACACGCACCTACATGCAGGCAATACACACATACACATAAAATAAAAATAATAAAT